CAATTCATCATATACATTATAAAGACCATCAACTTATCAACATGTGTGTTGAAACTGCTTTCATTGGTTTATCCTTCACCATTTATTTGTAGTGACTCTTGCTTGGTAGGATTGCGGGACTCTGTTGCCATTAAATAAATTGGCTTTTCTTTTCTAGTTTCTGCTTGATATCTTAATCACCTAAAGAACACTTTAAATAGATACAACAAATGCAAACATTCAAACAGTATAAAAAGATATAAAATAAAGAGTATATTACATTTCCCCCCTTTGTATAAATCAGAGTTCTACAAAGCAAAAGAATCTCCTTTAACTATTTATGTTTTTTGTTCTTCTGATGACTGTCCTATGACCAAATAATATGTATATACCTCCCTTTCTTAATTTATCAAATCCACGTAGTATATATTGATTTATTATTATGAGTGAAGTGACATTTTAGTTAACTTATCCCTTCCTTTCCCTCTCCCCTCTTCTAACTAACTACCAGGAGTCTTATCAATTTTGGTTGTGAGTGACTTTATAACTTTAAGTAATATACTTCAACCTCCATTTCTTGATTTATCAACTTTAGGCAGTATGCCTTAACTAAGTGCTTCATTCTTAATGGGGGAAATCACATGTGAAGATGGTTATTCTCTATATTCCTTGGATCATAAAATGCCATATTTATAGAAGAATGCTTCACTAGAAGCAGATCTATCCTTAGTCATTATAATGAAGGCAAAGAGATCTTTGTAAGTAGAATGAAAGATATTTATATAAATGGTTATATAAATTATATGTATCCTTATATAGCATAGATCGCATTGATTTTAAAGATTATAGAGTCCAACTATATTGCTTTATTTATTGCTCGGAATAATTTTGTAATGTTTATAGAACAACTGTTCTTACATTTCACAGGTAAAGAAATAAGTACAGAGAGTTTATAAGCATGTACAGTCACTGTTGCGGTCTTCTAGGTTTGGTTGTGTTTTGTTTCTGTCCCACATCCACTTCTTTTTTGTGGCAATATCACTCTGAGCAATATCCCACCTCTCCCCAGGATTAGTTTATATGCTTCCAAGTGAAAATGAGTACATTATTATTATTATTATTATTTTGAAAATAAGTACATTCTTAAACCCATGAAGCATGTGACTTAGACCTGAGCCAATGAATGCAGAACATTCTCCTGGCCACAGTGGGTGTGAAATGGCATTGTAATCTGCAAGGTGGACTAAGATTTGGACGGGGAATAATGGAACAAAGATGCTTGCTCCATTCTCCCGAAGGAAGGTGCAGACCTCAGAGATGTTGGCCGCCAGCTTGGGACCAGGTGAGGGAGCTAACCCTGAAGAAGCTGAGGAAAAAAAGAGCTCCTTCTCATTTCAGTGAGTCCTTTGCTGCCATTTCTACTTGTATCATTCAGTCACGTCAGCCAACACAAATTCCCTTTTTGCTTACAACAGTTTGTGTTGGTTTCCTGTCAACGGTACTAACTGCACAGTTAATCCACAGCAATCCCGACACCAGCTCTTTTGACTTAAATCTAGGACTCTTCGTACTCCACCATACTGCCTCTGAAAGTAATGTCTTTGTTCAGTATTCAAAAACATACGTCCTTCAAGACCTCTTCAATATGTCTTTTTCCTTCCTTCATAGCCCATTAAACAATCTTTAGAAACGCAAAGCCATCATGTGGAATTCATTCGTTTATGAACCAATATGCATTCTACATGTTTGGGCATGGCATTCCCTACATACTTAAAATGACGGTATGGGTCAGAGAGAGAAGCTAATTTCAAATTTTTTGTTAAATAAAGCTACTTTCATTTTAAAGTGAACAATTCTGGATCATTTTAAGCCATAGGGATGCCATCTACCACCTGCTGTCAAATATAAGAGTTGTGGTCATCAAATTCGATTATATGTTAATTGTCTGAAACTCAGAGCACATTTAACCTAAAAAAAGTATCATAATTTCCCATTGGCTTCTTAGACTAGCACAGAAAAGTTGACTTAATCTAAAATGTGGCTAAATTACTATGTATTTGAATGAAATGTTAGAGCACAGTATTGTCACAATACTAACAATTAAAATTTTAAAAATACTAAATCTGAAAGGATGATCTTTAAACAGGAATATTTAATGATGGGAGATGGGAATGTAAATGACACTGTGTGGCCATCCCAAAGGAGCTCTGGAGGTAGTACCAAGGGCCATAGCAGTTGATGATCTGAGTTCTTCATTAAACTTCATCTCATATCAAACTGCATAACTTTTCTTTTCCATGATACAAGAAGAGCTTTATCACTATTCTTCAACTTCAAAACTATACAAAGACAGAACTAAGAAGAGGAAAACACAAAAGGGATTTCATTTTTTTTTTTTTTAGAAGATGTATTTATTTATTTTAGGGAGAGAGAAGGAGAGCATGCGTGTGCCTGCAGGAGCAGGTGCATGAGTGGGGGGAGGGGCAGAGGGAGACAATCCACAGGCAGACTCCCCACTGGGAACACAGTCTAATGTCAGGCTCCATCCCTTGAACCATGACCTCATATGACCTGAGCCAAAACCAAGAGTCAGATGCTTAACTAACTGAGCACCCCAGGCACCCCTCATTTTTTCTTTTAATATGCATTGCAATCATACAGACTCTGTGTTCAAAAAGTTACTATCTTAAAAAAAAGGAAAGGCAAATACAAGTGTAATCCCAAGATTGCCCTGCTATGCTGGAAGGGAATTGATAGAGGTTCATGCAGGGCTAGATTAGGGACTTAACATGTGGGCTAATGGTTCCTGACGGAGACTGAGGTGGTCAAAGACCTGATTAGGCAGAAACAAGCTGAGGAGGAGTGAACTCTGTGCAGGTAAAGCATGAGTTACCGGCAGAGAGCTGTGTCTGGGGGCTACGCACAGTTTCACATGAAGGAAGAGGAAAGTGAAGAGACAAACATTTGAACTTCTGGTCTGAAAGTCATGTGAAACTTTTAAATAGGGCTTTTCTAAGGAAGCAAGAAGGTAGTTGGATGAAAGAGTCTGGTGATGGTGCATAAAAAGGAGAGGGAATATGTGTGTATGTAAATAGGTGTATAAAAAGATTGTCACATGTGCTGGAAACTAAGTTTAAAAAGCACATAAGCAAGTGAGCAAAGTGAAGAGTACAACATAGTGGAAAACTGCACAGTTGAGGATGTGGCCAGCCACAGATGGCGCTGGAGAGCAGACAGTGCAGATCCGGGATGGTGCAGGTACACACTCTCAGTAGAGCTCAGGAAGAGGCCAGTGGGGTCCAGGTGCACCAGGTAGAAGAAAGAGCCTAGAATGTGAATGTGTGGAAGTTTCCATGCCAACTATTTCTAATTTAGCCTTCCTTTTACTTTAAAGGTGGAACTCTTTGGGGTCACTCTATGACACCTTAATTGCCAAATTTAGAAAACATAAGATTTTGGCTAGAATGGCAAGTGTCTTGTCCCTAGTAAGGAAGAGATCCTACCACGGTGGGAAACACTTCTTAAGTCATGCAATACATGAGTAGGTGAGAGAAGAGGCACTGCCATAATAATCATGTATTGATCTGAATAGATAATAAATAGACTGTTTCAAATGCCCCTGAGATCTATACATGACAGCATCAACATTCATCACTGGAGTCTTTTTTTTAGTGGGAAATTACTAAGAATGATGGTGCTGAAAGTGGAAAGGCCAAACTCTCCCCTGGTTGTAGCTGGGTGACTCTTTGCCAAGCTCATTTGTGCTTTAGTGGTTTCGTTTTACTTGGCCTTTTACAACTTGGCAGCCCAGGAGGCAAAAATGAGGGACTCAGCAGATTTAAACAACTTTTACTCCAAATGTTCCTTTAATACTCCTATTTCTTGGACAGAAATTCCTGATGTCCTAATTAATCGTTCTTGGTGTTTTCTTTAAAAGCATCCGTTAGCATTTGTGAATTTGCCATGGCTTTTGCTCTCAGTTTCCACTCACCAATATTTTCCTTTAATACAGGAAAGGCTCCTCTCAGGGCCAGGTGAAATACAAGTTTATTTGAAGACCTTGCTTAAAAGTTGCTGAATTCACTGGCAACTTTGGTTGGCAGCCTTAAGAAATGTGAGTTGGAAGAAGAAGAGTAGTGCTGTTCTGTTGTTTCTTACTCTGAGATCAGGCTTTTAAACATCTTTTGTTACTTCATAATACATTTTCAAATGCTTTTGAAGTGATTAACACCCTGAATTGAGTCCTATAGTCACATTTAATTGTCAGATAGCTATTTTCCTTTGGGGTATTTGACAGTTGCCCAAAATGTTGGTCTTAATCTAAAACCAAGAAGAGACCTCTGACATACTGAAAGCCACCAAAGTGGTATTTATTAAATATAAATGGCAAGTGTCTAAAGGGGAGGTGAGGAAAGAGCACTAGTTCCCAACTCAAAAGGAAAATTCTTCCAGGATCAAGGGAAAATTACATTAGCATTTAGTTGAAGTTCCATTAGTTTCACATATCACATGAGGATTTAAAGATGTGTGTGTTCTGATAACACATTACATCTGCACTGAGAAATAAAGAGTAGTCTGACTCTCAGTTTCTATCTCCAATTTGTCAAACTTACTATAAATACAATGGTTAGCAGTAGTCCATTATTGGAAAATGGTTTGTATAAGGGAAAAAATTAAAAGATAATGATTTGAAATGAGGGAAGCTCATATGTTCATTTTAGGAACTCTAATTGAATTAGCTAAATATATGCACCTGAGGAAAAGAAGTTACCCCCCTCCCCCCGGGTAGTATCTTGTAATAGGTTGGAAACATGAAACTCATTAATAGTGTTAAAAGTTAGGTACCTAATGAATTATACCCATTATTAGAGATTTTCTGTGGTAACACTTGCTTAAAAATGAGAAATTGCCACATCTCTGTGACATAAGAGAAACGATACTTTAAAGCCACCAGGAATTATCACCAACTGGAAGCATATTTCACATGGTCAAAAAAACAGGGTCCAAGTTCTGGTACTTACTATGTGAGGACAATGGCCACTGCATCATTCAATACGCTCTCCCCGAACAGGAGTGTGTACAGGTCAAGGTCGACGTGCAGTTCATGGAAAATGGCCAGCACTGTCACTAGGAGGAAACACACCCAAACATGCAAAGTTAGCTAAAACACAGCCATGGATTTGTCGTGGTTATGGTCACCTCTAGAAAGGATTCATTAAATGCTCTTGTTCTCAAATCCATCCTTGGTATCCACATTGGACTGTCATTAAAAAAAAAAAAATCTGATGAGCCACTCCATTGCTTAGAGATTTCTCTGGGCTTCCACTGCTTACAGAGAAAGTTTGAGCTACACACTCCAAGTCTTCTATAATTTGCACTCTGCTTACCTTCCAGCATCTCCCCCTGTATCCCCTGCTCACCCATTGCTGCCTGCCTCAAGTCACACTGAACTTGCCATAATTTCCCCCAAATCACTGAAATCATGTAGTTTTTAAATTAACTTTGCATTTTGATTCACTTTCTCAGAGCAGCAATTTCTTTCCCATCCATGAACCACCATTCTCCCCATTCCTTAAATGCGCACACACATACTCACACATACGACTTCTTGTTCTCCCCAAACCCCATTCTTCAATTTTTAAAAACCTCTCTAAGTGTCTCCCAGGACCCCAATTCCTCAGCAGAAATCTGGCTCACTCCTTTTTAGTCCCCATATTTGAATCAAATCGCAAAACTTATCACAGAAGACACTGAGCTCCCTGGGGACAGGGCACAACTTTGCAACACAGGGTACTTGGCAAATGCTCAGTGTTTGATGCATGGATGACTGAGTGAATAAATGCATTAATGAATGAATGTTGTTACATGGCCTACTCCTGTGAAGGGAGAGGTGGCCAGTACCCGGCTGTCTTAAAGATTATACTCATCTATAAAGATGAACCTTGTGTTCCTAAGAACAGGACCGGAGAACTTGTTTCTGGCAGCCTGCTACATGGCTACTCTATGCACACATATTCTATGGAGCCTTGGAGCATACATTAGGACAGTAAATAATCACACACTGATTATCTATGTTCATCAAAACCATTCAGTGTCTTGATACTTGAAACAGTTATGCAAAGTGTGAAAAGCAATCATTAGGAAAATGATCCATTGAGTTGATTGCCAAAAGGATGATTGGGAGTAATACTGATGGTAAATTTTTAAGGCAGCGTGGGCATTTTCATTTTTGTTCTTTCCTTTTTCATGGACTGTGAGGTTAGTAACTATGTTGTATAAAATAGTGCTATGGGGAACAAAAGCTGAGTTGGAAGGTTTTGTAAGTAGAATCAAGAAGTTTGGTACTTGTTCTGCTGCAGTGGGGAGCCAGGAAAGGATTTTAATCAGAAGAGAGACAATCTGATTTTAGTTTTGGAAATAAAGCACAGGCAGCAGGGCAGAGGGCAGAATGGACATGTGGCTAGAGGCTTTCCCAAATGTTCTACCAATAAATGAGCTGTACTGAGATAGAAAGAATCCTAGAATCAGACTCACAAACTCCTGTACATCCTGCTCTACCCGGCACATCCACCATCCTGGTTCTGATAGGTCAATGGCCACGGTGGTTTGTACTTCACTTATTCATTGATTTTTATCTCCCTTGTGTGTCACTAGCCCTTAGGACAGTGCTACAATATAGCAAGCCTTTAATGAGTGAATATGTAAAAGGTAATGTCAAGAGAGGACATAGCAAGAGAGACTGTATGTCTAAGATACTTGGGATGGAGAATTGATGAGTCTTGGTGTTTGAAAGGTAGCAAGGAGTGACTCCGGGTTTCAATGCTAGACAATTAGTGGTTAGGGCTGCATAAGAGAAATTAGTTTGTGGACAGAGGAATCCAGTAACTTTGGTTTGGGACATGTTGACTTAAAAAGGTTGAATTTCAAATGGAAATTTCAATAAGAAACCTGGAAACAAAAGGCTGAAACTATACAGAGTTAAGGCAGAAGACAGAATTTGGGGGTTATAAGCATATAGATGAAACATAAAGCTAAAAGAATAGCTAAGAACCTGGGCAAAGTATATAGACAAAGAAGAGAGTTCATGAGAAATTCTTAGGGACATTTATAGTTAAGGGGTAAATGGAGAAAAAGAAGCAAGAAAAACACATGTGATATATTTGCCAAACCTGACCCTAAGCAAGAACAAGTTAGCTGGAAACCACATTCATCATGAATTTCTGTAGATAGATTTTTACTTACTGAAAATTATCCTGGAGGAAGGAATATTGAACTCAACAACCAGCTTTGGGATAGAAGAGACACCAGCAATAAAATGTTATGAATTAGCATGACAATTAGCTAGATCCCCTTTTGCCAGGGATAGAATAAATTTTATTATTCTAGCTGAATAGGTCCTTAATTATGATAGGCAAAATGGCAGAGATGTACTCTCTAGTAGTGGGTAGGTGTTCACATTTGCTACAACCCTTAGTCTTTGCATGTAGTGGTAGGAGGGGAAGGTAGCAATTATCTCTGCTAAGTAATCTCTCTCCTTCTTGGATAGAGTCAAGACCTTGTGTCTCATCAAAACAAAGAGGCTTCATCTTGGGGGGGGTTGCTGTTAATTAATAACATTTTCCTTTCCCCAGGATCCTGTGGAATAAAAGTAAAGTTATTCATAAACTACAAAATTCTATCATGGCAGGTTTATTATTGACTTTTGTCTCTGTAGTTACTTGTATTTCTAAGCTCTGAAGTTGACTTGCAGCTCATCTGCACTCCCAGAGAGGTTTCCTAGGCCCACAAATTGGGAAGAAAAACCTGTGTTCCTCACCTCACCTCCTCAGTTATGGGGTCCTCTCTGTGCTGAGAGGGACTCTTCATCTTTCCAGTAAGAACTTCAGGCTTTTGGAGAAAAAGATTTTTAACTGAATATCTAGTTTTGTTCAAAACTGTTTTGGCATTCCCACAATTCCTTTTGCACAAAGAACTGAACTCTACTTCATAAGTGATACCCCACACAAAAGAGAAAAGCTATTATTTTGCACATTCCTATCTACCCTGTAAAGAAAAGGAATAGCTTCGAAATAAAGCCAGGCAGTGTATCCTACAAGATGGAATATTTGCTGGGACCACAAATGAATTGAATAGGTGAGTCAGGAAATTAGCAACCCACTCTTGCTGCTAAGCTTGGAGCTCTTAAAGAAACTCATTTAATTAGCTCACTGGCAGGACTTGTTCTTACACAGAATGTCCAAGACTCTGTGGCACCTTCCCAGGAGACAATCTCTTGGAACAGTGGTGGACAAGCTCACACCAGCTCTGCCTATACCTGGTTGGGTTTGTAAGGACAACCTGGTTGTCCAAGATTGGTCAAAAAGCAATGAGACTTCTGAGAGTATGAGGAGAACACCCTGGACACCATGTAGATAGGAAGAAGTGGAGATAAAATCCAATTTCTTAAACCTCTGATTTTAGCAGGAATTTGATCTTATTTGCTTTTGTCACATTTTAGTTCCACTTATCTCTTTGTGGCAAGTTCCAACACTTCATTTGGGGCTCCTGTTCCTCCATACACCCTCTCTCTCCCTGACTTTCTAGCTAGAGAAAAACCCACTTTGTCTCTCAAATTGGTAGGAAGGGATACAAGCACATAGAAGCTTATGCTTAAATAGACAAGTACACACAGACATACACACAAACGTACACACAAACATACACTCCAGGTGAGAGTAGTGGATGCCTGAGAAATGCCATTGAATCATTGGAGATTTCTGAGAAAATAAATAACTGCATCAAGCAAACAGCAAGGAGTAGTGGGGGGGGCATGAATGATGAGGCAGTGGTGTGGACTGCACTTCTAAGAAGCTGGTGATGAGGGATGGAGAGAGAAAAAATAGTAGCCTATGGGGTAAAAAGCCAAGGGAGACTTTCTCTTAGATTTCTAATTTATAGGTTGAACAGAATAAGCCAGAAGAAAGAGAGGTTGAAGATAGGAAAAAGAAGGGAAACTGCTGGGTCAAGGTCAAGAGAAGGCAGAGAACAACTGAGAGGTTGAAAAAAAGTTGTTTTCTCGTGAAGCAAGATCATTTGCTGAGAGCAAGAAGACCAACGCATGAATTAGAGGCTAAAGGAGGGTTGAAAATGTCCAGAATGATTCAAGTTTTATGAAAAATTTTATGAAAAATTTCCAAGGTCATATATAGGATAACTCTCATTCTTCAAGAGAAAAGCCCCAACAATGAAGTAATCTTTTTGATTAACTTCTTCATCATACCAAGAGTCTTGTCCCCTACTACAACCTTATTATAGCACGAAAATGCACATTTTCTCATCTCAAATATAATAAGCATAACTGGACCTGTAATACAGATAATGACTACTGGATCCCATCAATACATCCATATGCTGATTCTTAAAAGTTGTTTTCCTTTTCTTTCTTTCTTTCTTTCTTTCTTTCTTTCTTTCTTTCTTTCTTTCTTTCTTTCTTTCTTTCTTTCTTTTCTTTCTTTCTCCTTTCTTTCTTTCTTTCTTTCTTTCAACTGCCAGTGTTTTAACTGACCACTTTCCCAATGCTCTTTATCTTTCAGTCACTTCTAAGTCTTCGGGGTGATTTAATAACAGTCCCTTCCCTGGGATCTTGATTAGCAGTTTTCTGACCCATATTTTTTTGGTGTTTTACAAGGAATTTAAATTTCAAATGATATTTTAATGCAGCAGCTCTCAGCAAACTAGCGTAAGATCTGCCTGGGTCCATGAACAGCTCCACACAATAGTTCTTATCCCTGTTGTTCTAAGTTATCACTCAGTCTTGTCAAACTGCTAACTTTCCCTGGAGAGTGCTCTCTGTGGTTTTCTGTGCAAATCAGTATGTATGACACTTGTCCCCAACACATGGAGAATCAAATATCTCAGGCTTGCACAGCAGAATTGTGTCAGACCTGGCAGATGGAGAACCCTGGAATTCTCATAAACAAGGTAGCATTTTTCCAATTCCAAAGTGAGTATTGTGAAAATGTATTTTTTTTTTCCTCAGAGGGTTGATGGAGGAGGAAATTCTCCTGCAAGTTTCCCCACTTTTCTGAAATATTGCACATAGTGAGATTTCAAGAAGAGGCTTCCAAAAAATTGAGGTATACTGAATA